AAATGACATCTTTGCTTTTGAACACTTTAGAGAGATCTTTTGCAGCATTTGCCCGATGAAATATGTCATATGATTTCTTGATTGCTGGATGATGATTGTGGAGCCAAATAAAATGAAATCCTTGACAACTTCAGTCTTTTCTCTGTTTATCATGATGTTGCTTATTGGTTGGTCCAGTTGTGAGGATTTTTGTTTTCTTTATGTTGAGGTGTAATATTACTGTACTGAAGGATATAGTCTTTGATCTTCATCAGTTTGTGCCTCAAGTCCTCTTCACTTTCAGCAAGCAAGGTTGCATCATCTGCATATCACAGATTATTAATGAGTCTTCCTCCAAACCTGGGGCTGCCTTCTCCTTCATATATTCCAGCTTCTTGGATTATTCTGGTGTAGTGCCTAAGGCATTTGACTGTTAACCAGAAGGCTGGCGGTTCAAACCCACCAGCCACTCCTCAGAGGGAAGATTGAGCAATCTACTTCCTTAGAGATACCTCCTCAGAAACCCAAGAAGGAGTCACTATATGTTGGAAACGACTCAACAGCAGTTAATTTGTTTGTTTGGTTGGTTGGTTTTATACAAATTGAAAAGTATGGTGAAGGAATACAATCCTGATGTACACCTTTCCTGATTTTAAACCATGCAGTATCCCCTTGCTCTCTTCAAATGACTGCTTCCTCGTCTATGAACAGTTTCCACATGAGCCCAATTAAGTATTCTAGAATTCCTATTTTTTGTAGTGTTATCCATTATTTGTTATGTTCCATGCAGTTTGAATACCTTTGCATAGTGTATAAAACATCTTTCTGGTATTCTCTGCTTTCAGCCAAGATCCATCTGATATCAGCAATGAATATCCATAGTTTCACATCCTCTTCTGAATCCAGCTTGAAATTCTGGTGGCTCCTTGTCAAAGCACTGCTGCAACTGTTCTTCAGTTATCTTCAGCAGAATTTTACTTGCTTGTGATATTAATGATATTTTTAGATAATTTCTGCATTCTGTTGGGTCATCTTTCTTTGGAATGGGTGGAGATATAGATCTCTTCCAGTTGGTTGGCTAGGTAGCTGTCATCCAAATTTCTTGGCATAGATGAATGAGTACCTCCAGCTCTGTATTCGTTTGTTGAAATATTTCAATTCCTGGAGGCTTGTTTTTTGCCAGTGCTGTCACTGCAGCTTGGACTTCTTCCTTCCATACTATCAGTTCTTGGTCATATGCTACCTCCTGAAATGGTTGAATGTTGACCAATTCTTTTTTGTATAGCGACTCTGTGTATTCCTTCCATTTTCTTTGATGGTTCCTACATTATTCAGTATTACAACTCAGTAATATAGTATTACAACCGTATTACAGCTTGAGGTTTAAATTTTTTCTTCACTTCTTTTGGCTTGAGAAATGCTGAGTGTGAGGTTTAAATTTTTTCTTCACTTCTTTTGGCTTGAGAAATGCTGAGTGTGTCCTTCCCTTTTGGTTTTCTAACTCCCTGGTTTTTCCACATTTCATTTTAATACTTTGCTTTGTCTGCTTGAGCCCTTTGAAATCTTCTGTTCAGTTCTTTTATTTCATTGTTTCTTCCTTTCTCTTTAGCTATTCTGTGTTCAAGAGTAAGTTTCAGAGTCTCTTCTGACATCCATTTTTCTTTCTTTCCTGTCTTTTTAATGTCCTTTTGCTTTCTTCATGTATGATGACCTTGATGTCATCCCACAACTTGTCTGGTCTTTGGTAATCAAATTTATTTTTGAAGTATTGGCCTGTGGTCTTGTTCTGACTGACAATGATTGAGCTTTTATTGACTCTTTCCACAGATTTCATTTCTGAGTGTGTTCTTTATGGTATATGCTTAGAAATAGAATTGCTAACTCATAGAGGACATAGATGTTAAACTTTATCAGATAGTGCAAAATTGTTTTCTGAAGTTGTACTCATTTACCTTTCTACTAAAAGTTCCTATTGATCGACATTCTCACAATAGTTGGTATTATTGGACTTTTTAATTTTTGCCATTCCAGTGGATTATGAATAGTATCTCACTTTACACTCTACTTATAAAATTGAACTTTAAAAATAAGTTTATGGGCCATTTGTGTTTTCTTTTTTGTAAAATTCCTGTCCTTGTCCTTTGCCTAGTTTTTATTGGATTGTCTGTTCCTTTTTTCATTTCCTATATATTTGCGTATTCTCTCTTTATTCCTGTATCAGTCTCTTATCTGTTTTTACCGTGCTACTTCTTTAGACACCCAAAGTAGTTTGATTACTTTCCTGCTACTGAAAATGCTAATGGAAAGTTAAATCTGAAGTCAGGTAGGAAGGAGAAATGCAGGCTTTGATTGACAAAATGGATCTATATTAAACTTTAAAAGATACTCATCCCAGTGGTTTGCAAAAACTTTATGCTTATAAATTACTTGGAGTTATTATTAAAATGCAGGTTGCAAAGCATTACCCCCTCTGCATGATAGACCTCAGTTGTTATTGTTAGATGGCATCAAGCTGGATCCAACTCATAGCCACCCTGTGTGCAACAGCACAAAACACTACCTGGTCCGGCGCCATCCTCACAATTGTTGCTCTGCTTGAGCCCACTGTTATAGCCACTCTATTAGTCCATCTCACTGAGGGTCTTCCTCTTTTTCGCTGACTCTCTACTTTACCACGCATGATATCCTTTTGCAGGGACTTGTCCTTTCTGACAACATGAGTACTGGGCTAGACAACAGGAGTACTAGAGTATATGAGTACTAGAGATGAAGTCTGGCCATCCTTGCTTCTAAGGAGCATTTCGGCTGTACTTCTTCCAATAGGGATTTGCTTGTTCTTCTGGTAGTTGATGGTATATTCAGTATTCTTCACCAGTATCATAATTCAAATATATCAATTCTTTTTCAGTCTGTCTTATTCATTGTCCAGCTTTCACATGTGTATGAGGCTGTTGAAAAGACCGTGGCTTGGGTCAGTCTTAAAAGTGACATGTTTGATCTTTAACACTTTAAAGAGATATATTGCAGCAGTACATTGTTTGATTTCTTGACTGCTTCTCAAGACCTCAATTGTTGTTTTGGTTGTTAGGTACCGTCAAGTCAGTGCCAACTCATAGTGACCCCATGTACAACAGAATGAAACACTGCCCAGTCCTGTGCCATCCTCACAATCCTTGTTATGCTTGAGCCTATTGTTGTAGCTTCCATGTCAATGCATCTCTTTGAGGGTCTTCTCCTTTTTCACTGACCCTCTACTTTTGCAGGCATGATGCCTTCTCCAGGGGCTGGTTCCTTCTGATAACATGATCAAAGTAGGTAAGATGAAGTCTGGCCATTCTCGCTTCTAAGGAGCATTCTGGCTACATTTCTTCCAGGACAGATTTGTTCATTCTTCTGGAAGTCCATGGTATTTTCAGTATTCTCACCAACACCATAGTTTAACACCTCAACTAATGTCCTGGAATTTGCAGTTTTAACAAGCACTGCAGGTGATTCTGAGCTTTGCTGTACAGACAGAAGATAAAGACTTTTAAAACTACCCCTAATGCCTAGTCCCTGGGCTGAATCTCTCTAATATATCTGTAATCTTCTCATTCACAATTACCTTCATATTACCCTCAGCTAGGCCCTCTTCTTGAGCCTGGCACCCTCTCATCTCTTGCTGGGGCAACACTTTGCAATAGTGTCTAGAACCGGTGGGGTTTTTTTGTTTTTGTTTTTGTTTTTCATTTCTAGTCTGGCCAAACTTGAGTTAAGGCTCAGAGCACCATCCAGATTCTAATAGATCTGTACCATTTCTTAGAGCAGTAGAAACTGACCAAGCCACTTGGATTCTTGGTTTAAAGTCCACATATGAAGCAAGATCTGAGAGCATATTGTAGAAGAGTGGACATCCCTGGGTGTTGCCAACAGTTAAGCACTTGGCTGCTAACTGAAAGGCTGGAGGTTTGAGTCTACCGACAGGGATGTCAAAAGAAAAGGTCTGGTGATCTACTTCCAAAAAAATCAGCCATTGGAAGCTTGTGGAGTACAGTTCTACTCTGACACACATGGGGTTACCGTGAGTTGGAATTGATTCAATATGATAGCAGGTGGTTTGGTTTGGGTTTGGTTTGTAGAAGAGTACATCTTTCATAGTAGAACCAGACCTCTCTGGGACTCCTCCAACTCAGGTACAGAGGTTCTTCCTCAGGTAGGTAAATTTTCAGATTAGAACAATAAGTTAGTTAGGCAGGGAAAGAGTCCATAGAAAGTCTAGACCTTCATGTGAATTCTGGGCAGTCCTCCATCGCTCAGGCTGGCACCAAATCTGAACACTCTCACTTTTTTGCCCTATTGCTGTTGGCCAGACTAGCTTATTTCCCTTTATGCCAAGTCTCAGGGACAGCCCTGCACCACAGATGATTTCTAATAGAAATACTATTAGATGCTATGTTCCTATTTTCTAAAAGTTGTAGATTTCCTTACATCCAGATGAATGTTCTAGGATAGACCAACTCTGTTTCTCAGAAGACCATGAATGTGCAGGATCTTTGGTCGCATATTAAAGGATTTTGAAGATAGGACTGAGATTCTTTTTTTTCCTTCCCAAAGAATGGGAGTTGTCATAGTAGAAAGATAAGTTTGCTGTTGAGGACATTTTGTAGCTGAAGAGAAGAATTAATTGAGTGGATATCAGGCTAATGTTTTCAAACTTTTGCAAACTAATCATGGAGTAGACTCATAAAATGTTAGCTTTGCATGGTCTTTTGCACGCATTGCAAGCAATCACCTAGGGAAAGATATAAATAAGAAAACTGAATTCCAGGAAGGTTACATGTTTTGTCAAAGGTATAATGCTGATTGGTGGCTGATTCCTTTTAATCCAAAATGTGATTATTCTGCAACTTTCATCTTATTAGGTTCTGTCTAGAGTATAGATCAGGAGCTGACAGATTAGATTACTAATAGACATGGGCCAATTTGAAATCTTACTAGAGTAAGCTATGTCTAACTAATAAAATATTATCTTTGTTTTTCAGGACTAAAAACTGAAAATTGTGTTGAGAATATAGGTAAGATATGCTTTTGCTTTAAAGTATTCTCTCTGTAATGGGAATTCTATCAGTTATTTCTCATAGGCATGGGTCAGGCTATCATACTTCAGGCTATCACTTTCTCAAGGCCAAATTATGCTATTGAAACTGCCTTTTCAGGTGGAGAGTCCTGGAACCTCTGCTGGTTGCTGTCTGCCCTTTCCACTTCTCCACACCCCACACACATACTCCGTGGCATTTTCTCAAACACTGCATTGCCCCAGACCTGGGGACCAAGCTGGTCTCAGCATTATAAGAGCTGAGGGACTCCTGAATGCTCATGTGTCTTCACACATTTCCCATATGATTCCTGCAGGGAGCTGGACTCTTGAGAAATGAAGGCCTATGGCTCAGTGGGGGAGAATGGGGTGACAGAATGGTAATGTGGTCAGTCTTAGCTTCATCAGGGGAAAATAGGAGGGTGTAACAAAATAATTTGTCTCAGAGGGACCATAGGAAAGATTTGGAAAGGTAGGCAGGGGATTCTGAAAGTACTCAGGAAACAGTATTATCAAATAGGCCCCACAAACTTGAACTAAAATAATGCCTTTTGCTGGTGAATGCTCAGGATGGAGCCTTTTGAGGATTTCCTTATTAAAAAGTTTGAAAGTAAGAGTCCATTTCTTGCTGTTTCTCTGCTAATTTTCTATTAATTCTTCTTCATGTAATTCAAACAAATCCACATCCATCTTTGAGACTTAAATGTTATACTTCCCCTAATAACAATTTGGTATGTAAGCCAACACAAATCTTTATTATTAAATATATATAAATAGAACAAACCTGACATTCACATCTAGCATAGTAAAATATAATGAAAATATGTTTGTATTTCAGTATATTTTCAGCCCATCTATGTCTACAGTCCTGGTGAGTATGCTGTGGTTAAAATAATAATAATAAATCCTATTTTTTAAAAGATAACTTCTTCCTGTTTAGGAAATTCAGTTTTTAACTGAAGAAAAAAAGTACTTTGCAGATATAAAGTAGTGAGTTGGCAGATGTGAAAGAGGAGAAAGAACCTTTTCTGGGGACAGTTACCTCCCTGGAAAGAAGCATTAGCTCTCCGGAGACCTGAACAGTGTGGAGACCCTGGGGACAAGAGTGGCGGGACCTGAACAGCTAGGCCTTCTTGGCATGGTCTGCGGACTTGTTAGGTCAGCTCTCTATTCAGTCACTGAGATTAGCCTTTGACACTAGACATCCAAATGAAAATACAAATCTTAGTCATTTGCATCTCTCAAATATCCTGATGTTTGGTATCATTTGACTGAAATACCTAGGTGTTAAGATGTATTTCTTCCTCCCTTTAGTTACCACTTAGAGGATATGGCTCAAATCACTTCTTTGTGTGTAAGCCCCTTAAAATGTGTTTGGTTCATGTGGCTATCTTCTTTGTTCAAAAGGAAAAAAAAAAAAGTTGGCCTTTCCTTAAATATGCAATTTGATACTTGATATTTAGAGAGAGATATCCTATCCTGATAGAAGTGAAGCATTTCATGTTCCTGAGAATTTTCTTAGCAACTCCTCTTCTTATTGGCTATTGTGCCAAGTTCTACTGTTTCCTTCATGGGGACCTCAGCTAACTTTTCAAGATAGACAATTTTCTGGTTCCTTGAGATCCCCAGGAGGCTAACTGTATGTGACTTCATTTTTTGTTTTGTTTTGTTCAGTAAAGGGGGCCAGAGGAAGGTTTCAACCTATTAGTCAGGACAACATTTAGACCCTGACTGACACTTAAATTTAGTAACAGTAGTTTGCTGGATGTACTGACTGGGTCTTTATGGCCATATTACCTGAAAATAGTTTTTGCTGCATCTGTAGTAACTCCCAGTTCTTTTGCTCCAGCATTACAACTAATAATGTTTCTTTTTTAACTTAGATGAGAAAAACCAGAAGCTTGAAGACTCTGGTAAGACATTTTCATAAGCTCTGAAGGCTTACATTTGCAAAACAGCTCCTCTGAGGGGTGAGAATTGGTGGGACTGGCAGGGAAAGATAAGTGGAAAGAAGGCAGAGCCCACCTTAGCTTCCTAGTTTGGTATATCAGAGATGCTCCTGGGTTTCAGAGAGAATTCTTTAAACAACAACAAGAACAACAACACACACACACAAAAAAAAAAAAAAAAAGGAAAAAGAGCAGCTCTATGTCTCCTGTTAAACAATCCTTAGGTCATTCCAACCTAGCAGATACAGGAAGTACATGAGGAACTTGTTCTGGAAAAAACATTTTCTACTTTACATGGATAAAGGAAGGTATGACCAATTTTATTCTACAAACTCTTGTGGCCCAAGATTTTGGGAGTGGCAAAAGAAATGGCATTGCTTCTTTCTAAGTTATTTCTAAATACATTTATTTATGTATTTATTACTGCCTCCAGCAGTCTGAGTAATAGATACTGTTAGCTATATCCATTTGATTATCTAGTATATTCCCAAATACAACTCAGCCCCAAGGGTTTTCGTTTTTTTTTTTTTTTTTAATGATATTACTCAGATGTCCTCAGGGGTACAGGAATATTCTCATAAATTACTAGTGATGTTATAATTTGGGTCAACTTTTCTGGAGGATAATTTGATACTATATATTATTAGCCTTAAAAATGTTCATACCTTTGGACCCAGTTATATCACCTTTAGATATTTGTCCCTAGAAAATTAGAGATGAACACAAAGATTTGTGTAACAAAAATGTTATCATGGTCATCATAGCAAATATTTAGAAATAGCTTTAGTGTCCACCAGTTGGATATTGTTAAAAGAATTAAATAATGTCCATACTATGACATACTTAACAACTTATAAATCATGTTTTGAAAAACATTTATTTATTAAATGATATGAAAAAGTACTCACAACAGTAAATATAAACAGGATATAAAACAGTATGTAGACTATAATATAAACGTCATAAAAATTTATATGCACATATATGTATACATAGCAAAAAGATTGAAATACACTGAAATTGTTAAGAATGAGCATCTCTGAGATAGGAGATTGGTTTTAATTTTTAGTAATTTCCTACGTTTTTTTCCAAATTATCTATAATTATATTACTTTTATAATCAGAAAATGTTGTTACTCTTTTTTAATATACCACAGTGACTCTGGATCCTAGTCTTTGAACTGAATCTAAAAAAAAAAAAAAAAAAAGTCAAGAACTGTTTGTTTAATCAGGAAGAGATCCTAGGTCACGAGCCAACTTCTCACCATAAGTCATTCAGACTTCAGTAGGTTAAATCTCGCCTTCTCCCTTTTCACTCTGCTTCCTGCCATCTTGCAAAGCTTTGTTTTCCATTGTAAATAGTCAAGTATAAGGTTACAATAATTTTCAAGCTGATTGCATTTTTCATTAAATAGTTATTATTCTCATCCTCAGGAACAGAAAGCCAGGAGACTGCTGTCTTACCTGGTAAGTCATCTTTTTACTTACTGCCATTGAGTCGATCTGACTCATAGCGACCCCCTCCTTCGGTTTCCAAGGCGGTTATCACTACGGAAGAAGATCGTCCAGTCTTTCTTCCGAGGAGTGGCTGATAGGTTTGAACCGCCAGCTTTCTGGTTAGCAGTCATATGCCTTAGGCACTACGCCACCAGAGCTTCTAGTTATTATTCTCATCCTTAGGAACGGAAAGCCAGGAGCCTACTGTCTTATCTGGTAAGTCATCTTTTTTACTTATTCTCTAAACTAGCTACAAGGTTAGAAGGAAATATGAGAGGACCAAAAACATCACTGGGCTTGGAGAGTTTGAGGAATGAGTTAAGCCAGAACATTGGAACTCCAGTTAATAATGGACTCAGACATACACATAATCCTGAAGATGGCTCAGGACCATGCAGCAGTTTAGTTTATCTTGTTATATATAAGATTGCGTGAGTTGGAGCCAACTCAGTGGCACCTAACAACAACAATTATGTTCTGGACAATGTACCAAACACTTTCATGTTCTCACTAGTCACCTCACTTACTACAAATCTACAAGGTAAGTATTTCTTTTGCATAAATAAAGAATTGAAGCTCAAAGGGATTAAGTAGCCTGGCCAAAATCATAGAGCTAATAGGTGACCAACCAACCAGAGACTTAAACTCTGTGCTGTCTCATTAAAAATCTATATACTAGACTGCCTTATGAAGATGAAGTTGGAGAGCTAGGGGCTAGATCATGGGAGAAAATGAAGAATCATTAAATAGTACTTTTTCTTGTTTTGTTTTCTTTTTCTCTTTCTTTCAGAGTTAGAGATGGGGAAATACAGACAAAAGGGGCATTGACAATGCAACATAACTGATTAACTAATATCATTTCTGCCTTTAGATATGAAAAACTATGAACCCACCCAAATACCTGGTAAGGCATCTTTCTGTTTACCCTGTGGGCCCACATTTGAGGGGAGAAGGATGCCTAAGGGCATTCAAGAGCATATTGTCAAGAGGCTATTCAGTATTTCCCTCACAACTGCCTGCCCAACCATTGTATAAAGATTTAGCTGGGAAATAAAGTAGGGAAAATGCCTTTCTCCCTAGCATATATGTGCCAGGGGAATGGTATCTCTGAAGCAAGAAAGTTAGTTCAGCCGGGGACATGAATGAGGGCCAGGCTGTGGGACCAGCAAGCATGCAGAGCAGCGCTTTCCAAGGTCTACAGCTAAAGGCTCTGCTTGGGATTTACTCAATAGAAATCTCAGCTTCTGCGGAAGCTGACTGTTAGCTTTGGCTAACAAAGACCTCAGCGTCTGGGATCTGCAGGTAATGAAATAGTGTACTCCTGGCATAGGCACAGACTCAGTGAGGCGCCATGGCAGAAGGCTTCCCTAAGCTTGGTTTGCATTTTCACAGTGAAGTTTCTTGTAGGCCGAACTTTTCAGTACAAATCTGGTAAAGCTACAGGGCAGGAGGACCTTTGGGGCTGATATCTCTTGAGCTCATCATACAAGAGTTTGAAAATTGTGCTCACTGGAGCAAACTGCAAGTCACTGAAAACTTCTTTCTCATTTAGGATCGAAAATTCCAGAACCTATTTCATTACCTGGTAAGCAATGATTAGCTGCCAATTTGGGGGATATAGACATAATTGTCACAGTCAGGAATGCAGGAGAACTAAAACCCCCTGAACCTAAGTATTTTGCACAAGATCATGTTAGTGAGTGAAGGGTGCAGGTCTCTTAACTTATGACCAAATGTCCTTTCCTCAACATTGGTGGTTTCTCAAGTGTATTTTTAGTGTATAGACAATGAGAGATTTAATCTACCTTTCGGGTAACACCTTGTAAGTGGATTATTAAAAAAGTATAAGACTGAAGCTGAGGGCAAAACCATTAAGGGAACTTGAGCTTCTATGGCCAGAAAAACTGAGCCATGATTTTAGTCAGGTTCCTCAGAAGAACCTCAGAACTTATGCGTACTAGGGAGGAAAAAATGAAAAGCCTTCCAAATTTATTATTATGTTTTTCCCCCCAAGACAAGGAGAAGTAGGAAAAAAAAAAAAATAGTGGATGGGAGAGCCTAGAAATGGGAAATCTAATGATCCCTTCTTTAGCCCTGTATCTTGACATTCTGTGGAGAGCAGTGACACTTCTCTGTGCTTCATCTTTTCTCTGTGTCATTTTTCAAATGTAGCTGACATCTGTCATGCTTGCCTCACGGGATATCTGTAAGGAGTATAAAAACAAAATCACAGGGTCCAAGACCTTATCTAGTATTTAAATTCTTTCTCCTGAGGTGATGGAGTTCTTTGGGGAAAAAAAAAAATATATATATATATATATAGAGAGAGAGAGAGAGAGAGAGAGAGAGCGCCAGCCAGCAGGGTTTTTTGTTATGGAAATGGCCATTTGTTAAAGAAATTAGACTTTTAGCATTTCCTAAATTATACCATGGGAGCTCTGGTAGCATAGTGGCTAAGACACTTGCCTGCTAACCAGACAGCTGGCGGTTCAAACCCACCAGCCACTCCTCGGAAGGAAGGTTGGGCAATCCTACTTCCGTAGTGATACTGCCTCGGAAACCCAAGGAGGGGTCGCTATGAGTCGGGGCCGACTCGACGGCACATAACAACAACAACAACAACAAATTATACCATGGCTGGTGTAAGCAGTTAATGTGCCTGGCTACTAATCGAAAGGTTGGAAGTTTGAGTCTACCTCAGAACATTCCAGAGGTATGTCAGAAGAAAAGCCTGGCAATCTACTTCTGAAAAATCAGCCACTGAAAACCGTGTGGAGTCTAGTTGTTCTGTGGCATGCATGATGCTGCTGTAAGTCAGAATTATCCAGCCACACAGTACTGCACTTTGGCTAACATTATTGTCTATGGTAACTGTATGCTGTGTACAGAAATAGCATGTTCACAGTTAGTTACACAAAGCATAGATGCAGTCTCAGAGAGAGGTTCCTGCAGCAAATCTTCTACATTGACCGAGATTGGCACACAGTGTAGGATTTATTTGGCCACAACTTTGAGGTGAATCTCTAGTGACACTGATGACACCTGTGTGTCCACAACTCTTTGGCTTGCTGCACCTGTGTTTGCACATTAGGGACTTCCTAGGCAGTGTGGTTGTCTGAAAGGTAGCTGCTGAGCAAGGTGTGGGGAATGAGTGTGGGCTGTGTGGCTTCATGAGGTCTCTCCTCCACAACTTTCCTCTGGGTGACTTTGTATATAAGTTACTTTTCTGAGTCTCTGCTTCCACATATGTAAAATGAGGAAAACTTATGTTTTGTAGTTCTAATTAAAGACCTGAATAAAGCCTGTTGCTTTTGAGTCAATTCCAACTCATTGTGACTGCAGTAGTTAAAGTGTGTGTTAACTTGGCTGGGCTGTGGTTTTGAGTGGCTTGGCAGCTAGATGTAGTTATTCCTAATGTTGAGATTGTAATCACCTCCATGGTGGAAACTGCTGTGAGCAGCTAAGTAGTTGAGAGGAGTTACCTTTGGAATGGAGAAGCTTTGAGAAATATTTCTAGCCTTTTGGCATATTTGGATCCTGCATTTGGCTGAGTTCTTATCTCCAGTGCCTGGACTTGAACCAGTGGTGTGCTATGTTTTCTGCCAATCTTAGATTGTGCCATTTTACCTGCCAACTTTGACTTCATCATCCTCAGCAGCTCCTGTAGGTCCCTGAGTGAGGAGATGCCTACAACTCCAGTGGGCCTGTATTAAGAGACAGAGCTGAAGGTGAAAGTTGAGGGGCCTTCACCTCGCCCCTAGAGCCAGCACTCTGAATTTGGACTTTTAGCTTCCTAAACAGTAAAAGAATAAATTCCGTTTGTTAAAGCCACCCATTTGGAGTATTTCTGTTATAGCAGCACTAGAGAACTACAATAGTGACCTTAGAAGTCATGTGGTTTCCATGGCTGTAATCTTAATAGAAGCAGATTGCCACTTCTTTCTCCCATGGAGTGGCTGGTAGGTTTGAACCATAAACCTTTTGGTTAGCAGCTAAGTGCTTAACCACTACACCACCAAGGCTCCTTGAAGTAAATGGCAGTTATCTTTATTAATATCGGAAAATCTCTTTCTCATTTAGGAATAAAAGTGGTACACATGGATGAAAAACCTGGTAATTATTTTATCGGGGGTGGAGGCATCATGGGGTTCCAAGTCCTTTTCCGTAACCATTTGGTTAGCTCAATCTTAAGAGGTTTAGGAAAAATGCAGGGACATACAGCTTCTTACACCCCAGCGTGCAAGCCAGAGGGGGAAATTGTTGGTAAGTCCTTTCAGTATAAACAACAGGCTGCTAGGGCTCTTAGGGCCAGGCAGAGAAGTCACTTGACCTGAAACCGGAACAGTTGGCTTTCCAGGTGCACCTCCATTCCAGAATGAGGCAGTAGGCTTCCAGGATGAGCTAGCTACCATGAGGGAATCTGTAGTCACAGGAATAGCACCATTAAAGAGGTGTGTGAGAGTGAGAACTGCACAGCACGGTAATGTCAGGCCAGCCATTCTGTGCTCCTTACTGGACTTCCTATTTTCTCCAACAAAGAATCTACTAGGTTTCACTGGAACTATGCTGTAATGTGAGCTCTGGTAGCATAGTGCCTAAGGCACCTGACTGCTAACCAGAAGGCTGGCGGTTGAAACCCACCAGCCACTCCTTGGAAGGAAGGTTGGGCAGTCTACTTCTGTAGTGATATTGCCTTGGAAACCCAAGGAGGGGTCACTATGAGTCGGATGCAACTCGATGGCAAATAACAACAACAACATGCTGTATTGTGCCCTCTCTTGGATGGCTCTGTGTAGTGCAGACTTTTAAAAGTGCAGCATTAGACATACTTACACAGGATGTCATTTAGACCCTTGAGATAGACAGTGTTTTTGACACTTCAGAGATGGAGACGTGGAACATAAGAAGGTTAAATATAAACTCTTATCTTTAAAAAGTATAAAAAATGAGAAATTAATTTTCCCTCAATAAAAGGAACAAAGTAATCTGTAAGAGGCTAGAAAGCGACAGAACTAGGACTGAAGTTTTCCATGTTTTTCACTAGCCATATTTACTTATAGGAAATACACCTCTATCCCGGACTTCTAGAATTGGCATTAGGCTTCAAAGCTGTCAAAATGTGATAATATTGTAGTATTTCAGTGCTGGGCACATACTTGGAGGTAGTATAGCATAGCAATTAAGAGCAAAAGCTTTGAAATCAGGGACTGCTACTGCTGATTATCTCTGTGATGTGTAAGTTACACCTCAAAACATTTCACAGATGCCTGGAGGGATATCAGTGAAATATGGATAACTGTACCTACCAAATAAGATTGTAAGAAATAAAGGCGACAGTATAGGTTAAAGTATTACACAGTGCCTGACACATAGCAACAACAACAAAAAAAACAATGCACTGCCATCAAGTCGATTCTGACTCATAGTGACCTTATAGTAAGCACTCAATAAATGGTAGTAAGCACTCAATAAATGGTAGGAATTAATACTGTATTTGGGCTTCTGGGTTCAATACAGATGAAAAAATAATAGCTTGTAAACAAACTTTTAACTTAATGGAAACATGTACCTTAAAAAAAAAAAAGTTGAAGGGAGCAAAGGAGTAAAAATTCATCCTCTCCTCCCAACCCCAGACATATCTCTAAACGTACTCCTCTGCCCCATTGATCCTTAGCCGGCCCCTCAGATTCACCCCCAGAGATAACCAACTATGCTTAATCTCCTTAATTAGGTTATTTTTTTTTCTCTTCTGGATAAATAAATTTACAATTCAATTAACTCATAATCTGTTTATATTTTAGAAGGCAAACGTCAAGGAATTATCAACAGTCCTAGTAAGAGCTACCTCATTTCCTCAGTTGATTGTTTCTGCAATGTAGAAAAAATTAGATATTTATGTTCCCCCACTAATAAGCTTGCAAAGTTTAAGGCATCATAATAATAGACGATACCTAAATGCTTGTACATATGTGTGTGTATGTGGTAGAGGCAATTTGATTTTGTTTCTTAACTATTTTCACCTTTATCTAGAGCCTGTACTAACTGGAGCAGTGGTTCTCAACCCTGTCCACCCAGTACTCCCTTCTTATAACAATTACACATTTCTTACATTTTGTGAAATAAATCATAGAGAAGACCTGTTCACACCCATGAAAAATCAATCTGACTATAATTTATAATAAAATTACTCATACTTTAATGTGTAAATGTTTAGCCTATGTCTAAACTAGAAGACTTAAGGAACCAGACAGATGATTGTATTTCTTTATACAAGTAACTTTGGATTTGAGAAAAGAAGCTATTCCACATAAGAAAATGAAAGCAGAGAAATATAGTGGGTTCTAGGTAAAAACTAATACATTCAAAATACATTAAAACTGTCCCAGAATACTTCATTTTAAGTGCTGGATTTGATAATTATAAATAGGTTTTTAACTTACGTATGTGTCTAGTAGTGTGTTTGAAAGTTGTGCAGGTAGTGGGGCAGTTTTTCATTGTGCAAGACAGTCCTGAACACTGAAAGATATCTAGCCCTCTACCTCCACCTGTTTGTTGAGACAATCAAAAAAATAACCTGACAAATTTCAAATCTGCCTCTTAGAGGCTGGTCCTACCTTCTAGAGAACCACTGTCCTATAGTAACATACTAATGCGTTAAGTGCATCTGCCTGTTTTCCCAGCTGTGTGCATTAACAGCAATGCATGTAACTAAGACATTTTATAAAATGTACTGGTTATTTACTTTTGTTTCATCTATGAAATGTAAGTGATGATCCCATTTGGATACCCTCCTGTATATTTTAACAAAAACACAGCTTAAATCAGTTATCTAAGTGTAGTGTGAAACATCATTCTGAGATGGATGTACTCCACTGCTTTTCTCCACCAGTTCAGATGGAAGGGAAACAGCTTCTCAGAGCAGTGTACGTATGGAGAAGAATACAAATATATACATATATATATATATATATATATAAGTATATAAATATACACACACACATACAGGGGCTCTGGTGGCATAGAGCCTAAGGCATTTGACTGGTAACCAGAAGACTGGCGGTTCAAACCCACCAGCCACTCCTCAAAAGGCACGTTGGGCAATCTACTTCCGTAGTAATACTGTCTTGGAAACCCAAGGAGGTATTGCTATGAGTCAGAATTGATTCAATGGCAGTGAGTTTAGTTTTTGGTTTTTTTATATATATATATGTAGTTTTTTTTACCTGTTTGCAGGACTTAGTGGTTAAAAATATAGCTATAGCCAATTGCATTTGATAGCTATTCAAATATGCTTATGAAATTTACTGTTTTACTTGAAATAGAAGACAAAATTTCACTTTGCATAAATAGAAATTGGAAGTAGAAAGTCTCTAAGAATCCCTAGAGAACTTGGACAACAAAAATAATTGACTCAGCTGTTTAGATATTAAATAAAAACATACTACCGCCTAAGGAACTTTATTAGGCGTATACATTGTTTCAGTTTAAAAATACTAGATAAAACCTTGATCACCATGCCCTGATCATACATAAGGCTATATAGCCTGAAATCTATAATAAACCAAAAAAAACAAAACAGACTCACTGCTGTCAAGTCAATTCCAACTCATAGCAACCCCTCCTTGGGTTTCCGAGGCAGTATCTCTATGGAAGTAGATAAACTGGTTTTATTTGAAAATTGTTCCTGCTTAGAAGTATTACAGGTAAGTCTTTATTTAGTTATTCAGGATATATGGTACAGGTAGAGGATACTTGATACTCATAATGACTCTGCCAATGACTGTGTGTTCTCATTAACAGCTCCAGGCCCACTTCCAGTTCCAGTTCCAGGGCCCAAAACCCATCCCTCTGCATCCTCTGGTGAAGTGGTCCTTCCGCCATTTGGGACAGTCATCATTTTCATCTGTGCTTCTGCCATCTTTGTTGCTCTGTAGTTTGAGATACAGTCTTTAGTACTTGAAATACACTACAGGGATCCTACAGGAAATCATATGGATAATGTATTTTTCACTTTTTGGCCAAAGTCTCTTGATAAAATGAGAATTGTTTATTTGTTAGTCATTTTACAAGTTCAGAAAGTCCAGAGAGGATCTGTCATACAATTAACTTCTCTCTTATTTCTGTATTAATCTTATGATTGCAAAACAAACCAAAAAACCTGTATACTTCTGTTTGAATTCAATAAAAAACTTTAAGATTATTTAGATATGATTTCAGTAAAATTGTGTTGCTAGGTGCCATCGAGTTGTCTCCATCTCATAGCAGCCCTATGTACAGCAGAACGAAACACTGGCTGGTCCTGTGCCAGCTTCACGACCCTTGCTACATCTGAGCCTCTTGTTGTAGCTACTGTGTCAATTCATCTTGTCGAGGGCCTTCCCCTTTTTTCCTGACCCTCCACTTTACCAACCATGATATCTTTCTCCAGGGAACAGCCCCTTCTTACAGTATGACCAAAGTAGGTGAGACAAAGTCTGGCCATTCTCCCTTCCAAGAAACATTCCAGCTGCACTTCTTCCAGGACAGATTTGTAGTTCTTTTAGCAGTCCATGGTACTTTCAGCATTCTTCACCACCACAACTCAAAAGCATTGACTCTTCTTTGGTCTTCCTTATGCATTGTCCAGCTCTCACATGCATATAAGGTAATTGAAAATACCATGGCTTGTGTCAGGTGCACCTTAGTCTTCAAGGAGATAGCTTTGCTCCTCAGCACCTGAAAGAGGTCTTTTGCAGCAGATTTGCCCAATGCAGTATGTTGTCTGATTTCTTGACTGCTGCTTCCATTGGTGTTGATTGTAGAACCAAGTAATACGAAGTCTTTCTTTGACAACTTCTGTCTTTTCTCCATTTATCATGATGCTGCTTATTGGTCCAGTTGTGAGGATTTTTGTTTTCTTTGTATTGAGGTTCAATCCATACTGCAGACTGTAGTCTTTAGTCTTTTTCAGTAAGAATTACTAGATATTAGAATTACTAGGTATTGAAATGTGTACTACTAACAAATCTGTCCTGGAAGAAGTACAGCCAGAATGCTCCTTAGCAGAGAGAATAGCCAGATTTCATCTCATCTACTTTGGTCATGTGTCAGAAGGGACCATTCCCTGGATATCATGCTTGGTAAAGTGGAGGGTCAGCAAAAAAGGGGAAGGCCCTCAATGAGATGGATTGGCACAGTGGCTGCAACGATGGGCTCAGGTATAGCAAGGATTGTTAAGACTGGCACAGGACTGAGCAGTGTTTTGTTTTGTTGTGCATAAGGTCGCTATGAATCAGAGCTGACTCAATGGCACCTAACCCCAACAAAATAATAATAATGATAGTGATTTTAATACCTGAATTAGTTTTAAAGATATTCTACTCATCTCTTTGAAGGCTCAAATTTTAGTTTCATTCCTCAATCTCATCTTCTCACATTATATGAACATTTTATATTTCTGTAAACACAACAGTTAACAGTATTTCACACTCATCATCTCTAATGTGAATTTTGCAAGTTATATAGTATAGTACCTTTTAATCACTGAGGTATTAAGTGGTTTAAAAGAGACAGAATAAGTCAAGGACTTGGTAACCAGCATTTACTTTACACTTTGCCAATGTTTCAAAAAAGATTAAAGGCTGCTTTCAAAGATAGGAAAACTAATAAAATCTAAATTAGATGTCGGGTTCAGTGCACTTGAATTCTACTACTTACCTTTCTTCATATTCAGAATTCTAAGTGGCTATCCACGAGCACCATTAAGTCATTTGAGGATTCAATACAGAACTTCCGGTAAATTGTGTTGGAGAATATAACTTGGTCCTAGGGCCAAAGTGGTGGGTCTTTCTTTATTCCCAAACCCAAAAGTTGGTTATCACTTGCTTGGAACACACCTCTAGTAATACATCCTGAGTCTAGTTATGTAGCCACATGAACAAGGACCACCTGCCTGCCTTACACTTGTAGTCACTAGTGTGATGGAAACCTAGGAAGGTGACTGGGCCTGTCTTTCAAAGGGCCCTATCTGTCTCTGGGTGATGCAGTTAACGGCACTTGGCTGCTAACCAAAAGGTTGGAGGTTCAAGTCCACTCAGAGGCACCTCTTAAGAAAGGCCTGGATTATCTACTTCCAAGAATCAGTCTTTGAAAACCCTATGGAGCACACTTCTGCTTGGATGCACATGGGTTCACTGTGAGTAGGAACTGATTCCATGGCAACAGGTTTGCATGTGGGGCAAGGCAGGACAGCTGTCCACATGTTATTTTCTTCATGGAACTGGGAAGTGCAAGGATCCCAACAATACCAGAACATGAAAAATCAGTCTAGAGAAGTGAGTATGGTATCCATGACTAATGATCTGCCCCCCAAAGAACATGAACCAATGAGTAATTCTCATCAGTTGGATCACCAACTCTTCCTACTGTAAGAGTGTGTAGAGGAATACAAACTTATTCTATATTATGCTACATGGATAAAGATGGAAGTTCCTATCATCTGGGCCAAAGACAAAACATGTACCAGGAGATAATTTCCTCCCTCAATGCTGATGCAGTTCCAACTATGGGTAGGAAAGTATGACGAAAGGGGTTGTATTACAAATTGCATGCCATAAACTTGGTAAAAGTTGTCACACATTTTTAGCAGCTAACTTGGAAAAAAATTAATCCACTTTAAGGTTCCCAGATTCCTATACTGTTACCTAGTCTGCAGTTGGGGTAGAAGCTCCTTCAGCGGGTTCCTGAGAGGATGGACTCTGTAAATACAGTGAATCATACTTATAACTGTCCCCATAGTAAGATGGCAAGATTCATGGAGCTGTTACTCATCACACTCTTCTGTATAAGCCAAAGCATCAAACAAAAGTACAAAGTTATTTCAGGAGGGGCCAACAAATGTAGTTTATAGTGAAAGAATTGTCTGAAATGATCTGGTTAAGAATCACCATTTCCCCTTATGTTGTTGTTGTTGTTATGTGCCGTCGAGTCAGCCCTGACTCATAGCGACCCCTCCTTGGGTTTCCGAGGCAGTATCACTATGGAAGTAGGATTGCCCAACCTTCCTTCCGAGGAGTGGCTGGTGGGTTTGAACCGCCAGCCTTCTGGTTAGCAGGCAAGTGTCTTAGCCACTATGCTACCAGAACTCCCATTTCCCCTTATATAATGTCTAATTTCGATTTTTCTAGTATCTTCAGAAACTAATGATAACTTAGAGAATTCTTTACCCTAGATGATATCTGAAGTAAGTATTATTTGGCATACCTCAGTCAAAATATGTCAGCATTAAACAAAAGTCCTTGGGAAGTAAGAATCTCGTTTAAAATAAGGAAAGCTTGAAATTCCTGAGCTGTGATTATTGACTTAGCACTTGTGTGAACATAAATGGTCAATCATCAGAAGCCAAATAAGCAAAACACTGGACAGAATTATATAAAAGTAATTACAAGTCAATTTATTGATAAGTTTTGTTTTTTTAGAAATAAAAAGGTTTTTAAAAAAAAGTTGCAAAAATGATAATTTTGTTATGTTCTAATGTCTGTAACTTCCAAATAAGTAAAACAATATAAAAATATATTTTTAGATCTTTATAGAATGAAAAGCAAACCACAATCATTAAAGATCCTTGGATTTTCTTTACTCCTCTCACCGATGAGTTCACAAATATAAAAAGTCATGTACATTTACACTCTGAAGTACAAATCTCCAGCAGCCAAGTAATTACAGTTTATTTTGTAATGTGCAAAGTAGACATTTTATATTTATTTGCTATGGAAAGCAGAGTACAGGCTCAATGGAGAATAATCTTTAAACACTGATTAGTTTTAAAGTATAATGCTGTACAATAGTACATATACTTTTGGTAGTTTTGTACTTTTCTAAGTAAAAACAGCTTTTGGGTATAAATCTTTCAAAGGCTATCGTTGAAAAGTTGTGAGGTGACTATGTTATTTCAGATTGGATGAACAAAAATTTGTCAGTAATCTTCCCAGAAACTAAACCAGGAGACAGTTTTGTTTTTCTTCCCTCCATGTAATCAGTTCTCAAGGAAGGCCTGATGAGTCAGAAGATGCATTTCACAAACTTCTAACACAAGGTTGTAAACTGTCAACTAAAGACCCCACCTCTGATGTGGATGGTTTCATTCAATCCATGTTCTACCAACTTTATATCTTCTAGATCATCTTTTATGATGCTGATCAGGTGACTAAGGCCTTCCTGCTGTTGTTTCAAATGCTAAAATGAATGAAAGGGAAAAAAAAAAATCGTATTAAACTGCAAGCTACCCACAGGAAAGGACTCTTTTTTTTTCACTGTTTTACTAGCAATCAGTACCCAGTAACTGTGCTCTCTATATAGTAGACATATTTAACCATTTATACTATGTCTTTTGCTAAAAACTTTCAGGTGTAAAAGATATACTCTAAAGGGCAAATACACAATAAACAACAGTTTCAAGGGCAATTTTACGGAAGATGTAGATAATGTGTTTTAAAAAGCCATCCCCTCCATCAATTTTTGATTAAAAACAAGGGTATGATTTTAAAAAACTCAAAAGGTAACGCATATATAGATAGCTAGCAAAATAATCACTTGGGAACTGAGAATTTTCATGTTTGAAGTACAAAGTAGGTAGTGATGGCAATGCTGACAATAACTACAGTTGCTAATAATAGTCCTTCCCATGTTCTGGAGCAGTTTTAAGAGCTTCACGGGTATTAACTCATTAAAATCTTTCCGTACACCCTTTGGGGTATATTATCTCCACTTTATAGATAAGGAAACAGACAAAAAGTAACGTGCCCAAGAACATAAACTAGCAGGTGATGAGCCATATCCTGCTTTTCATAATTTTAAAAGGCAGGTATTCAAATTACTCCCAAATGTATTGTAATTTTCACACATAAACTTTTAAATATAGCTCTTTATTACAATTTGCCAGATTCTTTTGATTATT